TGCCACCATGCTGGTGGAAGTAAACAATAGATATCTCATTAGCTCCTTTTGTTCGTCAACCAGCATTTAAATTTGACCCGCACACGTCAACGGTGAGTGACAAATGAGCCTAGGCACCAGTCTTCCCAGGGAAGACTTCCTTATATATAGCGCGCCTCCGTGTTTAAATGTGGTATCCCAGATTCTGTCCATCATGGAAAAAATGTGGAATATCCCTATGTCACTCTCATTGGAGAGCTCTGAGTACTTTAGAATGAATACGCATGAGAAAGTTCAAGTAGAATTGAAATTCTCTTTCATTACTCTCTTTGTACATGTGGTGAATACAAAAATAAAACGAAGCACGAATTGCCAAACTTATTTCACAAGTGTAAAAATCTATCCGATGGTAAAGAAATAGATTTTTTCCTAAAATTAATTATATTCCCATTACGATAATCATTGTGGCGAGGGTGTATTCTACATTTTCACTTAAGATATCAGACCTAAATAAATAAGGAAGGTACGAGAGACGTTCAAATTTTTGAAGGTGCTACGAGTATTTAAAATTTATGCTCTATTAAGTCCCAAAAATACATAAATCTGATGACGACGTTGAGTTCTAAAAAATAAACACTTCGATAAGGGTTAAAATGATAAAAAAATCACCCAAATCTTTTCCCCTTAGCCACAATATTACGTTTCCTATAAGTACCATGATATATTTATGTTATACGAAACGTAACGTCGGAAAATAGTATTTGCTTTGTTCATCTGTTAATAAGAGTCACAAAGAACACTTAGAATCGTTGAAAAGCCAGTATCTATACCTCATGTGCACTTTAAATATTTAAATTTTCTACATTTGCCTGGCTAAAAATTGGCCACACCCTCTAACTATTTTACAGCTCTATTGGTAAAATGCGGTCAAAAGTTCCAAAGTGGAATGATACGTACTAACCTACTCTGCGACATCAAAGACTTTCTGCCATGAAATTTTGTTTGTCGCATTTTTTATCACACAAAAATTAAATCGCTTGAAAAGCTCAGTAAAGGCAGTCCTTTCAAAGGTTTTCTTAGCAAAACTAAGCTACTACAGTACGCCGGTTAAATTTTAACCTTTTTTCCTTCAAACAATGAAATTGCCAATCCCCGTCTAGTATATACGTTCAAGCTCGTGTTTTCGTTAATACTTGTGGCGTTTCATGATTGAACGTTTTGGCGTTCTAGCCCAGCTAGACATCTTTGAACACGATTACAAACCGCACTACTTCATTCAAAAAATACAAGGCTACAAGTGTCCACAGCTTCACTTCACTCTATCGCCTGGGTTGTATTTGAGGTTTGCGACCTCCAGGAGCAGACGACCGCTGATCGTCCATTCTATTTGACTGCAGGCGAAGTATCAGACCAAAGAAGTCCTCGTCAGGTACTGTGGGCGCATTGGGCGGCGGCTCTGAGCGCTGATCCTCTATACGGTGGGACTGGGGAGAGAAATGAAGATCTAAATGATTGGCCCTTTTTTCGGTGGTTTCCCATGAACTGAAAACTTTCAAAAATATTTTGAAAATTATACAGGCAATCGATTTAGTAGTACCATCTAAATGGCTCAAAGCGCGGAATGGTTTTCACTTTTCTACGCGCTTCCGTACTTGATTCAACAGAGCATCTGATTGGCTAAAGGGAAATCGACCTGTTCCATCATGTTTGAATTTCAATGTAAGTCGCAAGAAAACAAGTAAGATATTTTAACCTTGTCAAAATATTATTTAAACAACGTGGTTCGTCGATGAGAGGCCTGCAAAAAAGACTGGCACTGGAATTAGTGCCAGACCCCCATCAAATCTCTCCCCGACTCGTCTCAAATCTTCCCACGGGCGGAGACACACGTGCCCTGCAACGATCATGATGAAGGCCTTCTCGCAAGCTGATAGGCCATTTCCGAATTACCCTTGGCCTCTTTTTCAAAGCGAGGCCTAGTGCTCGACCATTCTTGTGAAATGATCTTAATTTGCATGTGAATGAAAACGTATTATCATATCATATCGCTCCGACGAAGGGCTAACGCTCGAAACGTCAGCTTTTGTAATCATTACGGTGGCCAATTTACCATTTCAACTTTTGTTGATATATCCAAATTATATCCTATCAAAGGATGAGCACCAGGACTCGCTTTGAAAAAGAGGCTAAAGCTAATTCGGAAATGGGCTATTCTTAATATAGTAAACTTGGTTATTGATACAGAAGAGCCTGACTGATACTTACTTGACTTCGCAGCACCATTTCATACAGGTCTTCATCACCAGGGTTGTCTCGTCTCTTTGGCAGTCTCCCTTTATGGAAAGAAAAAAAATGTAGACTTTATTTTTACTTTCAACCTTTGCTTGAAATATTCCGTGAGTAAAATTTTCGTTTCACCACATAAATTTAACAATTCACCGCTTGGGTAACGCAAGTTAGTACTAAGGCATGGCCTACTGAAAGCTTTACGATGGCGCTTTTCCTCGAGTCAGGAGGTGAGTGTTCGGTTTGAACAGGTGATTGCGAGAAAGAGTTCTCCTTCTCTCTTAGAGAGAGTGTCATCTACAGAGATGACGAACCCTAACCCCCTGTGATAAATAATGACTGGTCCGCTAAAGAACTAAACAAAGTCGGATATCGAAACCAAACGTACTTATCTGAGACGGGTCATCATCGAAAGGAAGATCACTCCGCTGTTCTTCCATTCTGGCTCCTTGTACTCTTTCCACCATATCCAGCATGTCTTCCGTACTCTTGCTCTTTTCGATTGGTTTAGGGAGCTCGCAGCGTTGTTCATCCATTCGGTTACCTTGGCAACGACTCAGGAATTCGAAGAAGTCCTCGTTCAACGCATGATCATTCTGTTTCTGCAAAATAATACAAACAGACGGTAATTCGTTTGATTGGTGTCTCCAAGATCACAAAAGCTAACTTCGAATTCCGCGACGATCCTAAGAAAGCCGTAGTGTTTTTCTCGCGTGGGAAGTGGGATTCGTTTCGGTAAGAAGGGAAGAAGGGTCGTAAGTTTTAGAGTGCCGTATATGTAAGGAATTTAAAGTGATACTTGGAGAATTTGAATTTCAAAGAAGTTGATAATATTGAATAAAATTCCATGACGAATTCTTAAGAGTGTACTAAGACATTACTAATCTATATGGAACTGTTTACATCCGCCTGAGGCTATACTAGACACACCGGCTACCTTTGAAACCTCTAACTGCAATACGGAAAAACAATTGTCTTTCTCTTAACATGGTCAATTAATTCTTAATACTTGCGCGGACAACTCAATGCTGGTTGGTTTACTGAAGATAAATCAGCCGTTCGGTCCAAGATGGGGCGCCAAGAGAACATAAAACATGCCCATTTCGACAAGCCAAAGACAGAAGACAGAACAGAACAAAACAAAAATAAAACACAAAAGAAGGAAAAACAAAGGAAGGCGATGCAAAGTGAAATAAACAAACAAGTTCCTTACATTCCTTCTTTAGACAAATTCAGGAAAAATTTCAAGTCACACTTAACTAAACTTTGTTGAACTGCACCAGGCTTGTCCACCAATATAATTAACCGTTTCTTAACTCATTCGACTATTTCGTCCTTTTAACTCAGGAAGGTTTTAGATTTCGTCATTTCCAATTCTTCAAATTTTGCGGAAAGCTCTCGAGCATAGCGGCGTGGGGACAATAAATAATCAGAGATTACTATTGTTGTACCAAAAGTAAAACGAACTCAGAAGTCTGCAGGACGAGTGCTCCCAATTAAAGAATTCATTTTGATTGGGTGACATTTCGTATTATGACAAAAAGCCAATATTGGTTTCGGCACCAGGTCGAATGATCATCACAACACCGTCTTCTTCACTCACAGAACAACGATAATATTTTTGCCTAAGCGATCGGCGGCCCAAAGGCTGTCATGTTGTTGAACTTTGTTAATAAGGGATAGCACTTGAAAGAAGAGCGAGCCAATCGCCTGGTCCTCTGAAAGAATTTTTGGAAGAGTAATCTTCACGCGCCTTAAATCTCTACTTTGATCTAGCTCTCGGCTTTTGGGGGTCGCAAAATATGTATAGGAATATAATTCTAGTAAAAATAACACTTTTATAATCAGTTGGCTGCAATTCTAACAGCGAAGCTTAGGAAACGAGCCCAGGTCGATCTAAAACGATCTAGCAATGGAACAGTGGATAGAATAGACCCCGGGACTACCGGAACTAAAAACCAGTGCCATAACTGATCGGTCACGCTACCTGGGTGTTAGGGCTCTTTACGAAACGCGTGCTATCATAATAACACGTTCCCAGAGCGCTTAAGCTTTGAAATTTCTCCCCTCAAAAACTGATAAAATTAACGTGCAGTTTTTCAGATCTATGTTCAGTCGCTTACCTCAGCAGAGCGAACACGAACTTGGACATCATCGTGATCCACAGGTTTCCTCGAATTCACCGACGACGAACGAGGTTTGGTCACACCCTGAAAAGGGGAGAGGAGCAAGTGAAGTCAACCCTTTACTAGTAACCCTTAAGAGTGACTAACATCCAATTTCTCCCTACAACATCGCCCCTGAGCAAAGAAGAAAGTCACGTGGGTCAAAATAAAGAAAACTGTTTTTTCAATTTTTGTCAGAACGTGAGAAAACCGAAACATTTGCGCATCCCAGTGGACTCAAACCTTAGACTTTCCGATTTGACGGTTCTATAGTTTATTAACCGAACAACAGAGAACTCATTGGCGAGATAGGCCAATGTACTGAGGTCACATGCGACAAGCGTTTCGAATACTGCTAGGACTGATATTGAAGAAAGTGTGGGGAGATTTAGAGTAAGACCGAAGGCTAAAGTTTACCTCTGTTGTCGAATAAAATTAGTCAGGAAAGTGAGAGAGAAAATACGAGTTCCCCGCGAAGGGAAAAACAACTCAGAGACAGCAGTTCTAACATTAACTGCGCAGAGAGTTCTGCATAACAAAACAAATTTCTTGCAAAATCGACCCCTGAAAAGCTGGGCTTTCAACAGAGAGAGCTCACAAGAAAGCAATAATCGAAACAAAGTGCTGAGTAAGTTCCCAGAAAAATATATTGCAATTCTGATATATTTTTTAACAGAGATACTATCTCTGAAGAGACCATAAAGAAACGTATACACTGTTATCACTCAAAAATGTCGCAAAATGCTAATAACACACTCTTACTCAGCTAAAGTGCTGATTGCTTTTAACACACCTTCAGCTCCGAGCAGTCAAACCCCATTTCAAAAAATTATCTGCAAACTTCGAAGACTTTGGTGAATTGGGTTGCCAGAGATGAGTTTGCTCCCCTCTTCTTGGTATAAAAGCTACTGGATCTAACGCCAAACACACGGCTTTTATAAACACTTCAACTGAGAACGTGCCCAGATACGCTTCAAGAGGTAAACATTACGTCATTTCAATAAACTCAAGGATTAGTCTTTTCTAATCTGTTTCCAAGTGGGTCGCGAAATTGAAAAACACGAAACCTGGAAAAAAATCTTTGTTGTTTGCGTGAGCTGAATTACAAAAATTTATTGAAAAAAAAAAAAAAAAAAAAAAAACCCAAGATTTCACGCATTGTTTTTCACAAGCAGGATTCGAGCACGAATGTTTTGTAAGTAGTTATGTACTTCTCGAATACATTACGAAAATCCGACCGCAAAGTGGCCGTGAATGACTTCCCTAGGGAGTCATTAACACTTATGAAACAAAAGCGAAAAGGACTGAAAGTCCAGTATCTTCTTAGTAAATTACAAAATCAGGTAAACGTTTCTGCGCTACAGCACGTTCGAAAATGGACAGAAATTGCCCGAGGATTTTTGAAAAAAAAAAAAAAAATGGGAAATTTCACATCATGAGACATGGTTAAAAAAAAAAAAAAAAAAAAAAAAGAACAAAAAAAACAAAAAACAAAAAACAATATATTTCAAGTCCCTGTTCCCATCACTCGCAGCGTTAAAGTGGCGAACTTGAGGTTTCTGGTGGAACCTGAGTTTTAAGAATTTTCGATCTCAATCTCTAAGTTCTCTTATCTAAAACTAACTGAAATCTGTGGTTGTTGGTCGAAAGGGCTAAGAATTCGAGATTGGGGTCAATTCCGCTTCAAAACGGATTAAGGGCGGTTTGTCTATTGCTGTGGCGGATTGCAGAATTCAACACCGGAAGTATTTTTGAAATCCAGTCTAAAATCATGAAATTTCTCTCAACACTTTTCAGTCCAGCAAAAGGGAGCAGGCCATTTAATTTCGGTGTAAAATGACACGGCTTCCAGTTTAAAGAGACGAGAACAGATTTCTCGTTGCGGTTAAAATACTGCCGGCTTTCAAGGGAGATCTACCACTTTCAGACAATACATATAGGGCACATAAATCGTAGGATTTCCGTCCTTGTATATTGCGTGTACAGTACAATACTTCTTGTAATTCACAAGAGGATTTTGTGCGAGACTTCCGCATAGCATTGTATTGCATTGAGCAATTAACTTAGCTAATACAAGCTGAAGTGAATCTTCGTGCCTGTGACTTATTGTGCACCGAAACAGTTGCTACTGCTAAATATATCTCTATGGTCTGTGTGACTCACGAAAGGACAAATCAAGTTGAAATCATTAAACACTGTCTGGTTTGACAACCCAAACTGCCTAATCTCTTATGAGATTGTGAAAAGAATACTTTGAAGTCTGCGAAATTTCATTCGTTTCCTGTGATTAAGAGATGTTTGTGCGTGACTTCCGAAAATAGTAAAGGAAGTACTGCATTCAGCAATTGAATTACCTTGTGCACAAGCTTCCGAAAAAATCGCTTGTCAAGAGTTTAATGCGACCATTTTTCGGTATATTGGGAGAAATAACAATTTTTTTTTGGTATCTGTGTGGATTACAGTAAAACCGAATTATTCACCTCCACTTTAGTGAATAATTGTCAATTGACTTCTTCAGCGACCCAGTTCATCGGTCAATTGAGATGAAGCTGACTTGAAAACCATGATTTAGAGAAATCGAAACGTTGTCAAAACAACTACAATTCTTATTTTTTTAAGTCGTTTCTTTATTTTTTCACTTTTCCATTAGGTGAACTTTTAATTACTCTCCGCTGTAATAAGAGATGGTTAGGTTTTCACTAATCAAACGACGATTTAGAAAAGTTACTTGGTAAAAGTCAGACATCTTTTTTCTCTTAAAGAACGAGTTGCATTGAACAGAAAATTTCAAATAACAATAATCCAGCTACAAAATGAATGGGCCACTAAAAATAATTTTCACGATGGCTCATAGCTCTTTTTTTTTAATTTCATTATCAATATAAGAAAAACAAGAAATCAACGCTTAACGCTTGCGTGACTTCCCTATTTGCTGAAGGAAATATTTTGACCAATTTGGTTACTCGAGACACAATTTCATTTTCACGTCCTCCACTGTTCTTCCGCATAACATGGATATATACAGGTTTTTAGTACGAAAAAACAAAATAATTGTCGGGAGATAATGAACGACAGCTGTCTTGTTACCTCTGCTACAAAATAAATTATCTTGGACGAGAACTGATTCGCTTTCCAAAATGCACGTTGGGCTCAACTCATTTACATCTGCGGACACTTTTCGCAAAGCTAAGAAAAACACGGAATTCATGTGGATTCGTAAAATTTAGAGAGAGAAAAAAGCTTTGTAGCGTGAAGAAAAGGAACAGTCTACCTTTTCTCATTCTCTGAGCTATAAGTAAACAAATTCATGAATTATAATAAAATTTAAAGCAATAGTGGATAAATTTTAAAGACGATTTAAAAGCTAACAACTCATGAATTTCACACTCATTAACAAGAGCTGAGATCTAAAGAAGTGTTCTAAAATAATTTTTATTTTAACTACGAAGACTGGGTGTGTGATTTTTTTTCCATAGAGAGAATAAGAGAGTAGGACATTTGAAGTTAGGGACTAGTTATTATCCATCCGGGTTGGGGGGGAAGGGGGGAGAGGTTTGAAGGGTTTTGGTTGTGTAGCGATAAAATCGTGCTGATTCCTGCCTCATTAGCAGCCAATTATCTATAGTCCACCTTTTTATACTCTGATGGCGACGACTGATCCCCCCCCCCTTCCGTTCCCCTTGAAAAACCATGTGATCCCTCATCCCAATATTCCGTGCCACTTCCACTCACCCCCACCCCCAAGAGATAAATAATGATTGGTGAAAGCAAGTATGTCGGACGTAACACCCCGAGTCCCCGAGTCCTTCCCCGTTCGCGGCTTACTGAGATTCAAGTTAAGACTTGAACGCTCTCCAACTGAGGTACAGAGATGTCATTACCGAGAAAACACGTATTCTACGTAAAGCAACAGTTTCAACTTTTGGCCGAGTCATCACACAAGAACAAACGAACAAACAATAAACAAAAAGCAAAACAAAATAAAACACGACAAAAAGAGACGAAAAAGAAAAACGTTTCACTCTAGAGTAAAACTTACATCAGCGGATGCAGCCGACTCCAGTTTCCTCTTGTCTGAGAAAAGAGAAATATGACAAACTCAAAATAACTCAGAATTGGTTATCATGGTGTATGCTTCAGCAAGAGTGCTCGGTCCAACTGGGAAGCGATTTTTTTGAACCCATGACCATTACAAATTGCAATAATAGCTTTCATGAAAATATATTAAGAAAGTTTAGTAAAAAATGACAAATTTTCAACGTTTAAATACCGTAATTGTCATTTTAAGAAACAAGAGATGAGAGAAACGTATGAATACTAGCTCAAATAAATTAATAATTGAGTTGTAAGTGTTAGGAATAATCATTGAAACAGAGTTTCGCACAGATGGAATCTGATCATTTTGTACTTAAAAATGGATTACATATTTTGCTGAAGGGCACCTTTAAGGTCAGGCAGACAAATTACAAACTCCAGAAAAACAAATTACAGATTCTTTGAAAACTAGTAAGGTGTGGAAAAGTAACATGACCAGCCACCGATCTTGGGGGGTGAGGAAGAAGGATTTTGATTGCAAACAAGCAAATTTTGCTGACTCCCCCTATAAGGTTCTTTAGTAGTCTAATCCCCCCCCTCTTTGGAAGTCAATTTTCTATAGTCCCCCCCTTAATGCTGTCTTAGCAACGATTGATCCCCTCCATTCCCCCTAAAAAAAATGTAATTCCCAAAAATCCTTTCCCCCCC